CCTGCAGAAAGGTAACGTTTAAAACGTTTTTAAACAAGAAGTAAGCTATGTTAAACAGAAATATATGCTTGGTTTGTTGACATATCGTTAAATTTAAAAATTTGTTTTTTTCCAGTCCAGCGGCGGGATGTGGCTCCAAGGTCAACAGGCCTTTCTTTCGGTACATATTGCTTTGCAGACCCATACCAAGGTGCTATAACTGAGAAAAATACTTGTGTACGGGTCAGGGTCATACTTGGAATCTGGCAGAAACATAAATGCTCACAGTGTGCTGCAAACACCAGGACGTCTTCCTCACCGCGGATCATTTCCGCTCACCCCTTAGCACTGCCCACTCAAAGTCTGAGCAGTGGGAAAACTTTTCTAGGTGATGTGTTGCAAGGCAGAAAAACGGAGCTGATAAAATATATCTGTTAAGCTTGGTTTGCAGAGGCTAAATCTCAGTCTGTTTACTATTTTAATGGAATGGCTATTTTTCCTAAAATTCTTTGTTTCAATGCCCTTTAAATTAATTCATTAATTAGGAATTAATAGACCACTCACATGCACAGTGTAGTTTTTGAAGAGCTTGAAATAAAATTTAAGTTGATCATAAATTATATTTTTATTTCTCATACAACCATAAATACAAGGTTTTTTTAAATTATTCAATAAAAAAGTAAAAAACAAAAAAAAACAACAACTGGACATTGTTGTTGAAGTTTGAAGACGTTTCGCTTCCCATCCAAAAACCTTGATCAATTCCAATGTCTGGATTAACGTTTATAGTATTGCCCAATCACAGGCCTTGTTTTGGCTTAGATAACATTAAATCAGATGTTTTGATTTACCATTAGCTTTTCTTTAAATGTTCAGAAAATGGTAATCAACTAATGTTTTTTTTTAAGTATCTGTAATTTTACAAATAATATGGTAGTTTTCTCAGAAAACGGTTAAAATTTAATGGTTTTTACAAAAGATTTCATATCTTTATCTCTTATTGTATAGATTATAATTATACATTTTTATGTATTATAACTGTCAGGGGAGTGTTTTTTCTTCACTGGTTGATGATGAACATTGGGACCGTCTTTCCTGGAGGTTCTGATTATTTACTAGCGGTGTTTTTTTCCAGTAACAATGTTTATCCGGTAACCTCAGAGGGATAATGTCAGGTTGGTTTCTCCATAGCTTTCAGTCCACCTTCCAATGAGGACGTTAAAGTGTTTGACCACACATGAACTGGTGCATTTCCTATCACATCTGGGGACAGTAAGCTTGAATCTCTCAGTTCAGATCTACTTCTGCATGGGGCAGGGCCCATCTAGAACCAGATCTACAATACCAGCATGGGTCAGATACTTCTGATCAGGCCAGTGAACATTTCCACCCCAAGCTATGTCTGTTTTTAATGTTGTCTGCTGAACAGTCTCCACATCCTCTGACTACACCCAGGAAACACCGTTTTCTCCAAGCCCAGACCCTGGGAGTGTAACAGCACCAGATCTTTCTCACGATGACACAATCATCCTGGAAGGTCTATCATCCAGTCCCCATAACGAGGATCACAGGCCTCCTGAAAAACAGCAGAAAACAAAACCGATGCACCAAACTGCAAAACAGAAAAGATACTCTTGGTTTGATATTTTTGATTTTTAAAATACAAGTTTACCCGTTAACAGCTGGTAGAGTCAGCACTGAGCAGCAAACCGGGTGGAGATCAAATCTATGCAAACAAAAAGTCTCACAGACTGATCACGGCCAAAGTTCATGGCTGAAATTTATGGGTGACTTATTTTTCTTTAACTTGTTGTGAAAAGCTCAAAGAAATGGATTATGTTAAAAAAAACTGTGATCAGACATTGAATCTATTTGTTACTCATTTGGAACGGCACCGGCTCCCCGCAACGTTCCCAAACCTGCCGGATCCACCTTCCAAACAAGGCTTATACATTTTTATTATATCAACACACATTTATTTGATCAGCAAAAAAATATTATTAAAAATAAATCATTTATTTAAAATTTCTAGCCATTCCAAAAGGAAAAAAAAAAAACATGGTAAAGAGTGTAACACCATAGATCAGAGGGGTGCTTCTAAAGCACCACTCTGTCAGGTTTTAGGTGTATTATTGCTGCTACACACCTGACTGGTGATTGGTCCATTCATCAGACAGAGACAATTAAAACTAGCAAGACTTTGGCTTGATCCAAATATTAAAGACCTGTTTCACCTTTCAGGGGGTGAACAGTGAGAACCTGATCCAGGGTAGAACAGGAGCCTGGGCTTCAGCCTTACCGACGCCATTACCTGGCAGACACACCTGCATCCTTTTAAAGGACCCCGTCTATGTGGGCTTGGTCTTTCACAGACCACCAGAAGACCGGAGGAGATCGTCTTGTGTGCAGCTGCTGCATTTAGACAGACCTACAACTGTAGCTGTCAAATAGAGACTAAAGCCGAAAAGAACCACAAAAAACAGAAGTTGTCCAAATGTACGGTTGAACCTAAACATTTGAAGGTGTGTCACACAGAATACAGGGACAAATGTGGCTAGCTCATAAGGTGGGCTGTGCAACACGGTCTGTGGTGAGACACTTGTGAGCTGTATAGTGAGATAAAGCTCCTAGTGTGGGCAAAGGGCGTCACCAGCGTCTCTGCTCTGGTTCTAGCTCCTCCCCCACTGTCAGCTCTATTCTGATGGCAGTTATTTTAGCAACTGCTCAAGCACTTCTGCTGTGGCTTAATTATCGGTGCTGAGTTAAAGTGTTCTGATCAACTGTGGAAACTGAGGACCAGAGACCTCTGGGTTACAGAACCTAATCTGAAAAGATAACATTGGGATTTTTGAAAAACTCAAAGAGAAAAGACAATCAGGAGAAATTTATTGATACAATTACTTTGTGTTTGGCGCTCAGACCACGGCAGGAAACATAACGCTTAATTTTGATAGATATGCATGAACAGGAGTAAAGAACGAGGCTGTTTCCCCCCCAGGCCTGAACCTGGTGGTGGAGTGGAGATAGATGGAGTTGGTCAGTCTGTAGACTGCTGGTTGGAGTGGAGATAGATGGAGTTGGTCAGTCTGTAGACTGCTGGTTGGAGAGACGGTCTGCTGAGCTTTACGGGGAGATCCAGTGGACTGCATGAGCTGATACTAGAGCTTCACTTCCTGGAAGATGGAAGTCCTGCTGGATAACACAGGCTGAGAGAACCTTTCCATGATGAGCAAGCATGAAGCGACAGTGGAGAGGAAAAAACCCCATTGGGAAGAAACCTCTGGCAGAACCAGGCTCACATGGCGGTCATCTGCCGGACTGGTTAAGATGAGACGGGGAACGCAGTAAGAGTCCGGGAGGAACGACGCTCTGATGAAGCTTTAGCTACGATGGTGGAGGAGGGGCTGGAGGGGGGAGGAAACGGGGTCATCTGAATGATGTCACAGAGCATCCACTGCCTGTCACAGGAGCAGACGGTGCGGGTCGGAGGCCTTTAAGGTGAGCTTTGGATGCTGATTGGCTTTGGTGGAGGTTTGGTTCAAAGCTGATTGGCTGTCGTAGGTGGATGAAGGAAAGCAATGAGTTTATTCAGTTGAACTTCCTCCTAGGCTCCATTTCTAAAGTATTTCTATTTTTATAGAAACACATAATGTAGACCTTCCAGGTCGTTTAGCCTTATCTCAAACATTTGGCCCTAATGCTGCTGTTCTCATTCCTGTTTAGTGGGGGAAACAGCATGAAACCATCCAGAGGAAGAGCATCTCCTCAGAGAAGAAGATCAGGTCAGCTGACTGCAGGTGGAGGAGAGGCTTCATTTACTCCTCTGAGTGAAGAGCAATCTAAAGAGGCAATTTCTATCATGAAATACTCTTTTGATGAGGCTGCTATCAAGAACAAGATGAAGTTTAATTAGATGGTCCTTGATGAAAAGAAATAACCCTTGAAAAGTGCAGCTGAGTTAATAAAGGCCACATTAACATGTTGGTATGAAACTTCTATGCTTTAGTCTTTTTTACGTTTGGTGTTTATATCAAATGTCTGGTCACAGTTCCAATCATACGTTTAAAAACCTAAATGAGGGATTGCTGTTTAATGTTCTACTAATTTAATGATATTATTCTTTTCTAACAGTCTCAATCTACTTTGATTGATCAAGACTTTATCCTGGAATTTGGAGAAGATATATCCTCAGTGTTTATGAGCGATAAGTGTCAGCCTATCTCCTCTCTTTAACATGAATGCATGTTTTTCTCCAGGAAACAGGAAGTAATCCTGCAGAGCCAGACTCTTCCTGCCTCCAGTGAAGAACTGATCTACTGTGGAGCGTCGGATGAGAAGGAATTGGAAAACCTTGCATCTGGTAGTTTAATTAGACTTTAATCCTTGATAAATAAACCTAGTATAGCAGCGTGTGCTTTAAATGAATGACATTCTTGCAGTTGTTGATATTTTATTTCTGTGCTGTCTCCACAGGCTGGGATAGCGATCCTGCTTCCATCATTCTGCTGCTCCACCTGAGGCCGTAAAACACCTGGAAGCTTCCTGCATCCCAAGCTGCTTCCTGCTCTTCCACAAGGTTGGCTTTCAATGTTTTTCACAGGAACTATCATGCATTTCTAAATATATCCAGATATGATTCGTTCTTATATAAATATGAGTGTTCCTAAACACTTAGGTGTGAATTTAGTTCAGGGTTATGCAATGATTAGGTTTAGAGTTATTGTCAGAATTAGGAAAATGACTGGAAATCACAACACATGGTCCTCACTATAGAACAATATGTGTGTTAAAGGGAAGATCCAAAATGATGAGCAGAGATTTAAAAAGAATTTGAACATTTGGAAATAGCAATTAACTCTTTTCCTTTATTTTAATTCTCAGAGTGGAACAAGTTTTCAGCAGCATGTTGATGACATCACTTCTTCAACGCATCCATCTCCATTCAAACAAGCATCTAGAAGCTACGCTGGCAAAGTTCAGCAGACTCCACGTCTCAAAGCTGAACTAGAAGCAGTGAATGAATCAGGAAACAAGTCTGCCTGTAAATGTAATTAGTTTCTTATCAATCTAATTTACTATCTTTATTTTTTGATCTTCTTCACTCAATACGTTTAAACAACATGGTGAAGCTTTGTTGTGTTTATCAGAACCAACATCCTTGTTATGCATATTAGATTAAGTCCTGGTTTATGTCCTGTTAAGGCGCTCCACCTGAAATGTGCTCAGAGAGGATGCAGCCGGATTTTTCAGGAAACATTTAAACACAAACATGATGAGCAGACTGAACATGAACCTGAAACTGGACCAAACCAGTTTTACTGCAGATTAAATGCTACTTGAAGATTCTGTGGATAATTCAGTGGGTCTAGATGTACAGTAAGTCCTGCTAGAGCTGCAGCTTCAACATGTTGGTCCTCTGAGAACTTTTCTGCTGAAATTGAACAGAAATCCTTTACTTCATTAAATGCTGAGTCCAAACTCTTTTAAAGAGAAGTGGAAGATTTTTGAACCTGTTGAAAATAGAAGTAGATGTAGTGGAACTTATGATCAAGTGGTTTTTACAGACAGATTAGCAAATATTCCAGTTCTAGATACTCTGCGATCTATTCTCACAAATCTACAAGTATGTGGAATGTTTTCATCCAACCATATTTCAAAGGTTGCTTTGTATTTCCATTTAAAAGATGGTCTAGATACGAATAATCCTCTTTTTTCCAAGGAGAAAATGTAAATGTTTAGTTTTTTTTATTCTAAGTTTTTATTGGCATTTTGTTGATGTGCTAAGATGAATAAATTGATAAGACATGGATATGGTTGTTTTTCTCTTCTTATTTAAGTTTTGGCTGAACACCTTGAGATAAATATAAAATAGTATTTTAACACCTAGAGTCAGTTTTAACAGTGAGCCAGGCTACATTTGGCCCTGCCCTGTGCAGCGTTAAACTGACACTGATCTCTGGGTTCATTTAACCTGCTTAAAGACGCCCTGGATACAAACTGATGGCCTGGAAGTCTAAGAGCATTCTGTCTTTGGGCCATTGATGCTACAAAGACTGCTCTTTGGGCAGTCTGCCAGACGTCAGTCTGCCAGAGGTCAGTCTGCCAGAGGTCAGTCTGCCAGAGGTCAGTCTGCCAGTGGTCAGTCTGCCAGTGGTCAGTCTGCCAGAGGTCAGTCTGCCAGTGGTCAGTCGTCCAGTAATCAGTCTACCTGGATTATTTGGATTCATGTTCATGTGGATTTAAAGACGTTTCAATTAGTGGGAAAAAAATTGCAGGAGGCAATATAAAAAAACGTCTAATCACTCGAAACTTTCACGGTGCAGTACCTCTGTGGCCCCCCTAGGGGTCGCTGATCCCCTGTTGAAGACCTCCACGATGAATCTTTCGTAAAAAGACATAAATCCTTTGTTTTGACATAGTGTCCTGGGTGACTCTGCAGAGAACTGTAAACTAAACCCAGAGAGAACAGAGGATCACCAGGCAGGGAGATCAGGCCACAGCAAAGGCAGAACCTGAAGAATAAATATAAATACTACAATAGTAGTATTAGTAATAGCCTAAAACTCTGTTTTTATTAAAATTGTTCTAAGTAAAACTCTAAGATTATAACACAATGAGCAACCATCTTAAAGCATAGAGGAGGAGAATAAGTGAATTCATTGAAGGTTTGGGCCAGATTGGAAAACAGCCAGAATTATTTCCATCTAATCCTCCATCCCAATGGGATTTAAAACTTTTCTTCCTAACAGCAAAGCGGTTCATGTTTCCTCAAACACACATTTATTTATTTCCCATTCTGCAGTTCTGCAGCATGTCCAGCAGATGGCACCCCAGGCTGCTGTCTGTCCAAAGCCAGCTGGTAGTCTGTATTCAGCTCAGCTTAAAAAGACCCTATATAGATATTGGCTCATAGGGGTTACACATTTGAAACATGATATAGACCCACATTGCCTTTTGATTCTAGAGTTGGTTCAGGTCAGAACCATTTGCCTTACAGGCCAGTGGTTCTGATGGACTCAGACAACAGGCTTATACCACCCTGGAAGTTACAGTCAGTCTCATTTTCTTCTCCTTGAGCTGAAATATTTCGTTTGAATTGTTGTGTTCTTTCCTCCATTGCTTTGCAGTTTAAGTCTGTTGTAGGCTGAGTGGAAGCATCCTGAGTAGAACTACACGTAAAGAGTTGATAAGATGGCACAGACTGGAACATCCATCATTTCCTCAGAAGGTCTGAATACTCCAGCAAAACCCTCTGAACCCCTGCAACTGCTCAGACGTAAAGACGTCTGGCAACAACAGATAGTCACAGGTTGGCGAATAGATGCCGTGCATTGCTCATCCTACTGCTAAACAGGAGGGGCTATTTCATTCAGCAGGGGGTTAAACCACTGGCAGACTGACCTCTGGCAGACTGATTACTGG